CTATAAATCCCAGTAAGTACAACTCTCAAGGTCCAATTCTCCCAAACGCCGTCTGTTTTCATATTTGGGCATATGGAATATTCGTGCCAAGTTTGGTCCGGATCCATCATTATTTGAGTCCATCGTGCTCTCTGGATGTAAGTGAACTACAACTCACAAACTCAAGGTCAATGCCCACCAAACCCTTCCCGTATTTTCTGTTGTTCATGGGAGTTCTGTGTGCCACGTTTGGTTCAATTCCATCATTGGTGGAGTTCAGAATGCTCTTTGATTGTAGGTTAACTATAAATCCCAGCAACCACAACTCCCAAATGACAAAATCTATTTTTTTATGATGGTCACTCCTTGGATTAGTAGGCCAAATTGGCCAGTGGTTTTTGAGTTATGTTAACCTCACAAACGAACATTACATTTTTATTTATATAGACACTAGCCGTCCCCTGCCACACGTTGCTGTGGCCCAGTCTGTGTATATGTATTTTGTGTGTGTATATTTGTGTATATGTGTATTTATGTGGTTATGCGCCTGCATTGTAATGCAATTTTTGTTTTCTGGCTTTTTAAGTCTCTTCTGCTGTGTTTTTCAAACTTTTAATGAACGATAGTCACTCTTTGGCCTGATTGGGGATTTGTGTTCAAATTTGGTGTCAATTCGCGCAGTGGTTTTTGGGGTTATGTTAATTCCACAAATGAACACTACATTTTTATTTATATTGACACTAGCCATCTCCTGCCACACGTTGCTGTGGCCCAGTCTGTGTATATGTACATTGTGTGTGTGTATTTGTGTATATGTGTATTTATGTGGTTATACGCATGCGTTGTAATGCAATTGGGGTGGGGGGGTTGGCTTTTTAATTCCCTTCCCCTTTGTTTTCAGTCTTTTAATGAGTGATGGTCACTCATTGGCCTGATAGGTGTTTTGTGTCCAAAGTTGGTGTCAATTCTTCCAGTGGTTTTTGGGTTGTGATAATCCCACAAATGAACGTGTTTATTTACATAGATAGATGCTATTCTATAAGTCGAAAACAACATGACGACACACAATTCCAAACCCCTTTTGTAACATTCCTATTAGATCCGGAAAATCAGTGTTGTGCCTTGTGCACCCAGAAAAGCCCCTAAAGACCAAAACAGCTGCTGCCGAGACCTGTATGCCCCGGGGCCAACCAGCAACCAAAGTAAAGTTAGGCAATTGTATGTGCAGAAAACAATGTGCTGGCGGAGAAGCACGTAATCCCTCTTGATCTCCGCTACCTGAGCACACTTAAGCTTCTGTGGATACAGTTTGTCTCCAGCCCTTTCAATGGAGAGTTCCCATGGAATTGTTTCCCACTGAATGGCAGCATACCAGTCCGTCATTTGTACCCAGCCATTGGCCGTGATTCACCCGCCCGCTGCCGGGACTTGGCCATTGGCCGGCCGGTTATGCCTTGCTGATTCCACTCCTTGCTGGTTCCCACTGAATCACCTTCATCTCTCCCATCTTCCCAGACACTTAGCCAGACCCATCCGAAGAACCGCCCTCTGGTTCCCATTGACTCACGGTCACCTTTCCGTGGCCTCTGCTTCTGCCACATCCTCCCCGGGAAGCATAATTACATCCTTCCAGCCTCCTTGGGTGGATATAAAAGAGCAGGAGCCCGAACCAGGCGGTGTGTCCATTGGTAACCCTGAGAGAAGTTGGAAAGGTTTGGGAACGGATAAGAGACTTGGACTTAAGGATTCCAACGCCAGGTTTCCTTGGTGGTTATTCTTCTGTAAGTATAAGAACGGACTTGCTCCTGCAAGCTCTCCAGAGGCAATTTCCTGCAGCATCCTGTCTGTTCTGTCTCCCGCTCTCTGTGTATTTCTCACTTCACGAACCAACAAGCGCCCTTTGGGAAAGCTGCCAGGCCCACTCCTCCCTCCTCTCGGTGGAATATTACCCATTAATGGCTGGTGCCGAGGTGATATTTCGCAGTCCAGGAAGAAAAAGAAAAGCGGAGTCTTACGGGGTGGTTCCTCTACCTTTCTGTTCCTATTCCCTCCTGCTATTCACGGCTCTGGTTGGCTTTCCGTACTCGCTTGAGAAGTTGTCATGCTGCTCACAATGCATTATTTTGGGATGCCTCTTTTGTGTGAACATTTGGTAATGCTTAGAGTGAGTGACCTTACTTAGTGTGTTGGAGTATAGAAGATGACTTATACCAGCATTCCTCAACCTGGGGGTCACGAGGGGGTTTCAGAGGGGTCACCTATAAAGCCCTGAATGGTTCTGGCCCGGTTGACTTGTCCGAACATATCTCCCGCTATGATCCACCGAGGACCCTAAGATCATCCGGGAAGGCCCTGCTCGTTGTCCCCCCATCATCGCAATCGCGTTTGGAGGGGACAAGGGACAGGGCCTTTTCTGTGGTGGCCCCTCGGCTGTGGAACTCCCTCCCAAATGAAATTAGATCAGCTCCATCCCTCCTGACCTTTCGGAAACAAGTGAAATCCTGGCTATGGGATCAGGCCTTTGCAGACTAGGTTGACCTGCTGGCAAAGCGACGGCTTTAATGGACTTGATGGACTGCTTTTAGGACGATGACTTAAATCGGTGACTGTTTGAATGTTTTTATACTGTTTTCATATTGTTTTTATTTAAATTGTACATTTATGCTTTTGGTTGTGGGCACCGTACTGTGCCGGTTGTTAGGCGCCCTGGGTCTGATATCGAGCTGCTTTTAGTAGGGTCTCCTCAGCAGAGGGGATCCCCAAGGGCCCCGAAACCTTGGTGAGGCCAGTGAAGCCAATTTCAGCAATTTAAAATATTAAAAATAATAATGCCCACCAAAGTGGAAGAAGTTTCTTTTAAGCAACCGAGGTGTTTATTTAGCGATTCAGCTGATATCGGATGCATTGCAGGAATCATTCCACTGCAAGCATGCCAGTACAAAGAATACAGACATATTTATAGTAAAAATACAAAGGAAAACTTTCAAAATTCCCGCCCGCCCCTTGCCGGCTGGCTTCACGCTGATTGGCTGAGGCTGGAACAGCTGGGAGGAGGCTGGGCGGCCTGCCCCTGCTCTGGACCAATCAGCGCGTTTCTTCGCCTCTAAAGGGCCAATGAGCGCCCTCCGCTCGCCTCGCAAGATGGACCAATCAGGAGAGAGGAGGCGGTACGGCCGTGAACAATGGAGGGGAGAAATGATGGGATTAGGAGTTGCCAGCAAGCCTTTGTCTCAGGCCGGCAAGGTGTGATCTTTGTAAACAAAAGTCTTCCTGTTTGAAATGGCTTTGGGGAAAAGACAATATTGGGTCAGACAGTGGACCTCAAAAGGGATCAACGCTGCCTTTGTAATTTCAATCATTTTTCCTTGTCCTCATGAATTCCTTTATCTCATCAGACAGGCTCAGAAAATGAGATAAGGAAGACATGGCTATTGTCTCATGCAGATGAGTGGATCAATGGATGAGACAGGGATTTCCCCCCAAGCATTGCAACAGTTCCTGGTCACTTTTTGTAAGGGAAAGGTCAAGAGGGAAAAAAGTGGAAGGGGGAAAACAAGTTACATTTCATACAGTAATACCTTTATACAGAGTTCATAAGGGAAGCCCCATCCCCAGCCCATACCCCAATAAGTTTTATTTCAATATTTGATCTTTATTATAACACAAACTAGAAATCCCATGCTCTTGGGAAAGGCGCGCGGAAACGGAGGTTGCTAGCAGTTCAAATCAAGCATTGATAGAAAGTTCGTGGCCAGGGTTGTGGCAAACAGTCCAAATCACGCAGCAGAGAGTCATTCTTCAGGCAGAAGCCAGCAGATGGGCGCTGAGTTGATCAATAACAGAATCCATCGCTCAGCCCTTGGGGAACTACAACTCTCACAAAAGGGCAGAAGTCCCAAGATCCAGCCATTTCCCAAAAAGCCTCGTGGGGTCCTTGTTGTTGTCAGTGCCTTGGCAATGTGGCCAAGACTTAACCCTTGTTGTGTAGTCTGGTGCCCTTGCCCTTTGCAGAACTATAAGTCCTTATCCCTTAATTATGAGGGGGGGTGGTGCCTGACATCAGGTCCCTCTGCGGATGTTGAGATAGGACAGGATAAAATTGTCCGAAATACATAAATATTAAATAAATATTTCAGAAAACACATATGATGGTCTTAGGTGTCCCTTTGGCAGAGAAGGCTGAAGATCTCTCAGCGTGTCCTTCTCTTCCTTTTTGGAAACAGATGGCCAATCCTCCCACCAAAAGCCCTCCTCCTCTGCTGTGATTGGCTGGCCCCTCAGCCAAGGGGAGGGCTGTTTCTGAGACTCCAAGCGGAGGGGGGGAGAGCAGGCATGCTTGGCGCATGGCAGCGTGGTCTGCATGTGCGGGCATGTAAGGCTGGAAGGAGGCTCATGCTGGCGAGTCTCTTCAAGGCAGGTGGTTCTGTGTGGGAAGTTCAGCCCAATTCTATCATTGGTGAGGTAATAATAATAATAATAATAATAATAATAATAATAATGTATTTATTTGATCTCAGTGCTCTGAGACCATCCACAAAGCCATTAGGAACACCTTAGCAAAGACGAAACCAAGCGAGACCAAGACTGGATAGGTTTTGCGAAAGCAGTTCTCTGAAGAGCAATACCCGAGGAACGGGGTTCCGATAAACTGGATTGAGCAAGGGTAGGGTTGGTGGAAATGCACGTACAAGGGTATCCTGCCCTCGTGTCTTCCGTGTGTTTCTTCATCCATCCTTTTGCTCTGATGGTGATCTTTTTCTTGTTCAGGGAGCACCGCACGTGGTTAAAAAACAGAAGTGTATTCCTATTAGTGGAAAATTCCTTTCCACTGAGACTAAGCCTCAATTGTGGCTCAACAGGTTTATTTCTCAGAGCAGTCGGTTGTTTTTTTTCCCCTTGCCTTCTACCAGTTTACTAGAGAAGGAAAAAACCTTTCAACCCTAGGCCATTTGCTTAGATCACATGAGTAGGTACTTATAAGCGCAGCTTATCCGCTCACACCAGCAAGCACTTGGAAGAGAGAGAGAGGGAGATCCAGGTTCTTCAGACGCAGGGAGAAAGCCCAAGAGGCGTGAAAGAGAGAGAACACACCTCCTTGTGTGTTGAGGCAAAACCTTCCTCGCCTGCAGAACTGGCGTGCAGGTAACATTTGGGGCGCTCGGAGCTCATCTCCCAGCTTATTTTGCAGGGCTTCCCCTTTCCCTCGTGGATGCAAGTCATGTTGGATGAGAACTGTTTTGAACATTGAAGGCATGCCTTTTCTGATGGCGAAAGTTTGGTCTGTGGAGCCTCAGAAGGTGGTGGCGAGATGTAAGTGGGCAGAGCTCTTTGGGCAAGGGGGTCTGTCCTTTGCCTGTCCACCTGCCTATTGTTCTAAGGCAGTGCTCCTCGACCTTCCTAATGCCGTGACCCTTAATACAGTTCCTCCTGTTTTGGTGACCCCCAACCATAACATTATTTTTGTTGCTACTGCATAGATCTAATTTTTCTACTGTTATGAATCGAAATGTAAATATCTCATATACAGGATGTGTGTTTCGGGGGTGGTGGTGGTGGTGGTGGTGGAATGATTTGGTCATTTGGGAGTTGTGGTTGCTGGGATTTATAATTAACCTACAATCAAAGAGCATTCTGAACTTCACCAACAATGGAATTGAACCAATCTTGGCACATATGACCAAGAGAAAGTACTGGAAGAGTTTGGAGGGCATTGACCTTGAGTTTTGGAGTTCTAGTTCACCTGTATCCAGAGAGCACTGTGGACTCAAACAATGATGGATCTGGAACAAACTTGGCACGAATGTTCCATATGCTCAAATGTGAACACTGGTGCAGTTTGAGGAAAATAGATCTTGACATTTGGTTGTTGTAGTTCCTGAGTTTTATAGTTCACCTACAATCAAAGAGCCCCTTGAACTCCTCCAGCAATAGAATTGGGCCAAACTTCCCACACAGAACCTCCATGCCTTGAAGAGACCCCCTGATGTGAGCCTCCCTCCCACCTCACACACTCTCCCTTGCCTGCACATACGCATCATGCTGCCATGCACCAAGCATGCCTGCTCTGGATGTAGGTGAACTACAACTCCAAAACTCAATTTCAATGCCTGCCAGACTCTTGGGAGTTCGTTGTGCCAAGTTTGGTTCAATTCCATCATTGGTGGAATTCAGAATGCTTTTTGATTGTAGGTGAACTATAAATCCCAGCAACTACAACTCCCAAATAACAAAATCAATATCTCTCCCCCTCCCCCCACAACCCCCCACCAGTATTCCAATTGGGGCATATCAGGTGTTTGTGCCAAATTTGGTCCAGGGAATGATAATACATCCTGCATATCAGATATTTACATTACAATTCATAACGATAGCAAAATGACAGTGATGAAGTAACAACGAAAACAATTTAATGGTTGGGGGTCACCACCACACGAGGAACCATATTAAGGAAGGTTGAGAACCACTGCTCTAAACTCTGGGTAATCTTGCCCTCCCATTGATGGCCTGGTAAAAGCAAAAAGCACCACCGTTGTTGTTGTTTTTCCTGAGCATGTTGTAAGTTTGGCATTCAGTGACGGTGAGGTGTGGGGCAGAAAGTCTGCCTACGTCTGCAATGCCAGGCGCCAGAGAGCAAACGCGGTAACATCCCAAATGGTCTGTTTGGCAAGCGTTATGTAACATTATATAACATTTCTGCCTGGCTCAACAGTGTGTTGCATCTGGGTGCAAGCCTCACGTTCCCATCCACGGCTGCAAAATGTTTTGGACCAAGCGAGGAGTTGAATGCAAGGAGTTGAATTGCGCCCTTTCCTAGTCCAAGCAAATAGGTGTTGCCTCTGTTTAATAGGATAGAAACCTGCCCATGGTTAAGTATTTTGTCACACAGAAGGCACAGGTGCCTCTCCTGCTCTGGAAGGCAAAGATGCATTGAATGGGTTTCGGTTACAAAAATGCAGGAGGAAGAAGAACTTCCCAGTATTGTAGTATGACAAGCCGTGGGGTGCAGTAGTGGTGAGTCAATGAGAGGCGTAGACCAGCGTTTCTCAACCTAGGGGTCGGGACCCCTGGGGAGGTCGGGAGAGGGTTTCAGAGGAGTCACCAAAGACCATATTTCTGATGGGCTTGGTTCATTCTCTCGGCCTGTCCTTCTCTTCCTTTTTGGAAACAGACAGCAAATCATTCCACCAAAAGCCCTCCTCCGCTGTGATTGGCCGGCCTCTCAGCCAAGGGGAGGGCTGTTTCTGAGACTCCAAGTGGGCGAGGGGAGAGCAGGCGTGCTTAGTGCGTGGCAGCATGGTGCGCATGTGCTGGCAAGGGAGGCAGGAGGGAGGCTCACACCAGCAAGTCTCTTCAAGGCATGGGGTTCTGCATGGGAAGTTTGGCCCAATTCTCTCATTGGTGGGATTCAGAATTCTCTTTGATTGTAGGTGAACTATAAATCCCAGCAACTACAACTCCCAAATGTCAGGGTCTGTTTTCCCAAAACTTCATTTGGGCATATGGAGTATTCGTGCCAAGATTGTTTGAGTCCACAGTGTTCCCTGGATGTAGGTGAACGATAACTCCAAATCTCAAGGTCAATTCCCACCAAACCCTTCTGTTGGTCATGGGAGTTTTGTGTGCCAAGTTTGGTTCAATTCCATCGTTGGTGGGGTTCAGGATGCTCTTTGATTGTAGGTGAACTATAAATCCCTTGGTACCACAGCAGGATAAACCGCCGAGCTGTTGGATTTGCTGGCTGAAAGGTCAGTGGTTCAAGTCCGGGGAGCTGGGTGAGCTCCCACTGTTAGGCCCAGCTACTGGCAACCTAACAGTTCAAAAATATGCAAGTGTGGGTAGATCAATAGGAACCACTTTGACGGGAAGTTAATGGTACTCCATGCAGTCATGCTGGCCACATGACCTAGGAGATGCCTACAGACAACGCTGGCTCTTCGGCTTAGAAATGGAGCTGAGCACCACCCACAACAAGACTTAATGTCAGGGGAAACCTTTACCTTTACTGTACAACTCCCAAATGACAAAATCAACCCCACCACCACCACAACCCCACCAGTATTCAGATTTGGGCATATCGGGTATTTGTGTCAAATTTGGTCCAGTGAATGAAAATACATCCTGTCCATCAGATATTTACATGACGATCCATAAGAGTAGCAAAATCACAGTTACGAAGTAGCAACAAAAATAACGTTATGGTTGGGAGTCATCACAACTTGAGGAACCATATTAAGGGGCCGCGGCATGAGGAAGGTTGAGAGCCACTGATGTAGAGAGTGACTTGAGCCAGATCCGGCATGATCCAGTTGCTCACAATTTGATAACTTTGGGATTACTCCAGAGCTTCCTGAATACCAGGAAAGAGGAAAGCTCCCAATTCTGGCAATGGAGAAATGAAGATGCCAAGGGCAGAGGAGGAGATGGAGCCAGAGGTGGCCTAGATGTATCCCAAGCAAGGTACACCATTCAGACCCCAAACGTGCGCTCCTCTGCACTGCAGTTGCTTCTGCTCTTAAAGGGAAAACCAAAATGAGAGCATTGAGAACACTCAGCAGCCTCGTGAAGGCACCCTGGAAGCGAATGCATTGCAAAGCACTTGAATATGAAAAGTGTGAAGAATTACAGATAATATTATCCTATTTTTGTGCAACTTTCCTTGGCAATAAAGAAACAGAGGGAGGGAGCAGCGGGGGGTTGGAAAGAAATGACGGGGATGTGCTATTAAAAGCCAAACCATGTCCAAAGAGAACATTTCCCCCCCTCCCAACAGCTTCTCTTACGGCAGCAGCGGCAGCAGCAGCAGCAGCAGGAGGAGCAGCTCTCAATAGTGTATGAGGCTGTGAATACTGTATGAAGCTACCCTTCAGCAGAGAGACAGAGAGAGAGAGAGAGAGCTGGGCTTCTAAATGTTTCATGCCAGCAGCTGCAGCTCTTCCCTTGGACTCGACGCTTGCTTGCCTGCGTACGTGCTCGGAAATGGGACATAATGGCTGGAGATGTCTGTACACAACATCATCACCCCTTCCCTCTTGAAAGGGAGCTGAGCCACGGTGGGACAGCAGGGCAGCCCATCCGCTTCTTCCTCTTGCGGAGACTGAAGCGGGGAAGGCGCAGTTGCCTTCTGAAGGCTGGCTAGGGCAGGCATGGGCCACCTTGGGTTGGACTTCAACTCCCACCATTCCTAACAGCCTCGGGCCCCTTCCTTTCCCCCCTCAGCCACTTAAGCTACTGTTATGAATCATAATGTAAATACCTGACATGCAGGATGTATTTTCAGTCACTGGATGCAATCAAAGAGCACTGTGAACTCCACCAACGATGGAACTGAACCAAACTTGGCATACAAAACTCCCTTGACCAAGAGAAAATACTGAGAGGGTTTGGTGGGCATTGACCTTGAGTTTTGGAGTTGTAATTCACATATATCTAAAGAGCCCTGTGGACTTCAGCAATCTGGACCAAACTTGGCCCAAAACACCTGGAAGGCAGAAGTTCGCTCATTCCTGGGCTAGACCAAGTTTAGTTGAAGGCAACGGCTGATATCCAGTGTGTTGTGATTTCATTTTTGGAATAGGATTCAGAGAGGATTCAATGCAAACCCACTGGATCACCTTGGTTAAAAATGCTATCTCTAGGAATCTCTAGGTCAGTGTTTCCCAACCTGGAGGTTGGGACCCCTTGGGGGTTCCCAAGGGAGTGTCAGAGGATTCGCCACAGACCAACAGAAAACACAGTATTTTCTGTTGGTCATGGGGGTTCTGTGTGGGAAATTTGGCTCAATTCTATCAGTGGTGGGGTTCAGAATGCTCTTTGATGGTAGGTGAACTATACATCCCAGCAACTGCAACTCCCAAATGACAAACCCATTCACCTCTGCAACCCCACCAGTATTCAGATTTGGGTGTATGGGGTATTTGTGCCAAATATGGACCACTGAATGAAAATACATCCTGCATGTCAGATATTTACAATACGATTCATAACAGGAGCAAAATTAGAGTTATGCAGTACGAACAAAAATAATGTTAGGGTTGGGGGTCACCACAACATGAGGAACTGTATTGAGGGGTCTCGGCATTAGGCAGGTTGAGAAACACTGCACTCAAGCAATGCTCTCTATGTTCTTACCAAAAAATGAAAACAGGCGCGCAGTCTTTACATCATGGTAATGCAAATGTGAAGACTGTGTGGCTGTGATAATCCTTGGCTGATGTAATCCAGAATTCAGAGACACCTCTAGAGCATTGCATTCCCAGTCTTGCATAAGGACAGGGCTGGGAATGCTTAGACTGCAACTCTCAGCGTTCTCGAGTAGTGTTAGGGTTGCGGGCCTGGCAATCCAATCATTTCTGGGTGGCTCCGTCATTCCCAACCCTGCCTTAAGCAATGGTGGAGCCAGGGAGGAACCACTGGGATTTCTCCGCTCTTTCTGCCCCTGTTTGATTTAAGATGACCGGAAGGCAAGGTGGGTTCATGGGAAGGTTTGTCCAGAGGGAGATCTGCCCTCGCCTTTCTCTGAGGCTGAGATAGGAAGAACGCCAGTGTAGAGTCCAGTCACACGAGACGGGATCTAACACATTAATTATTTAACAAAGCAGTGATTTATTAATTAGCTCCACAACAGATATTTCGGGATATAAAATGATATCTTGGGCTTACACCCATCAAAGACGCATTATTTGACTATCTCTTTTGCATACTTCCTTTGTCACATCTGATCTTTGGATAGAATGGGGAAAAACAGAATAGTGAAAAACAATGCATGAAATTGTTGTCAGAAATATTGAAAAATAACTAGGTATTTCTAATTACAAAAATGTGAGTCAAGTACTGAAAGGGTTAAATGGATGCAATGCAAAAGCTGCAGCCCTATATAAGCCGGTGTGCCTGTAGCTTCGTAGGCCTCTGTGTTACTTGACCTCAGTTTGAAGAGGCCTCAGTCTATGGGAAGGCCTCAGTATGGGAAGGCTCCAATATTAGTTTGCCTCAGTATGAGAACGCTTCAGTGTTAGTAGGCCTCAGTGTGAGGTAAAGTCCAACACCTTTCTCTCTTCCAACATAACTGCTGAGTTAACAGAATGAAAACTAATCAAGTTTACAGCATCTGATATAAGCTGAGGAAAAGAGGAAACTGGGACATTTTAAAATCAGCTGGAAAAAAGGGATGGCAGAGGATTAATCATGACTGTTCCTGCTATTTGGGACATTTGGAAAGTAGGAATAGATAGGCAGCCCTCCTATCCAGCCATGCTGCTGAAATTGGAAAGGGAGCGGGAGAAGCAGGCGTACAGCCCGAGGCCTGTGTTTCTCCTCCTTCCCAATGCCGTGACTCCGTAATCCAGTTCCTCATGTGGTGGTGACCCCCAACCATCACATTATTTTCGTTGCTACTTAATAACTGTAATTTTGCTTCAGTTCCGAATCGTCATGTAAATATCTGATATGCTGGATGCATTCTCATTAACTGGACCACATTTGGCACAAATACCTGATATGCTGCCCACATTTAAATATTGGTGGGGTTGGGGAGGTTTTGTCATTTGGGACTTGCAGTTGCTGGGATTTATAGTTAACCTTCAACCAAAGAACATTCTGAACCTCACCAATGATGCAGTTGAACCAAACTTGGCACACAGAACTCCCATGACCAACATAAAATACTGGAAGGGTTTGGTGGGCATTGACCTTGAGTTTTGGAGTTGTAGTTCACTTACATCCAGAGAGCACTCAAACAATGATGGATCTGGACCAAACTTGGCACGAATACTCCATATGCCCAAATGTGAACATTGGTGGAGTTTGTGGAAAATAGACCTTGAGATTTGGGAGTTGCAGTTGCTAAGATTTATAATTCCCCTACAATCAAGGAGCATTCTGCACCCCACCAACGATAGAATTGGGCCAAACTTCCCACACAGAACCTCCATAACCATCAGAAAATACTGTTTTCTGTTGGTCTCTGGTGACCTCTCCTAACACCCCCTCGGGACCGTTCCCCCAGGTTGAGAAACACTGCAATACGACATCTAGTGGATGGGCATTGACCTTGAGTTTTGGAGTTGCAGTTCACAATGATAAATCTGGACAAAACTTGGAATGAATATTCAATGTGCTCGAATGTGAACATTGGTGGAGTTTGGGGAAACTAGACCTTGAGATTTGGGAGTTGTTGCTGGGATTTATAGTTCACCTACAATCAAAGAGCATTCAGAACCCCACCAATGAGAGAATTGGAACTTCTCACACGGAACCCCCATGACCAACAGAAAATACTGGACTTGGGATGAATTGACAGTGATTGTAGTTCACCTACACCAGGAGAGCACTGTGAACCCAAACAACTACGATAAAGGGATTCCTAAGACCATTGGAAATATGTCTTCTGATGGCCTTTGCCAACCGCTTTGAAACCCCCTCGTGACCCCCCCCCCCCAGGATTGCAACCCCCAGGTAGAGAAACACTGCCCTCGACGGCCCCGTCCTGTTCTGCTGTACTTTAATCTCCTTTGATAATAGAGAATCTGGTGGCTTGCTTAGAAAATGGTCCCTTGGGTTCGGCTCTAAAACCTGAGCGCATTGTGCATTGTTCCTTTTGTTTCCGCCGGTGGAGGTAGGCATCCAAGCCAAATGCAGTCTCTGAACTGAAAAAGAAAACACTATTTATAGATAACCTTGGTTTCAAATGTTAAGCCGGATGGCCATTTAAAACAGTGCAGCTGGATCCCTGTTAATGAGCAAGCATTCCTAAGGGATTGGCCTGAATGTTTAGAAAAAGGAGGAAAGAAAGGAAGAAGGAGCGAAAGGGGGAGGAAACCAGCTCCTCCAAATTATGCAATCGTTTTGAATTTATAGCCAGTCGAAAACAAAAGGGTCCCAAAGTACACCATGACAGCTGTGCTTCTCGCTTGCGTAATCACTCTCCTTGTTCGGGCAACGTTGATTTGAGATAGGCCAGAGAGGGAATCTGAGCCGTGTCTGTCACACACAATACAAAACTATAGTTTGTTGCTTTGCTGTTTTGGTTTTGGCCTCGAGGCTTCACGTTGCCCTGACCTGCTGTTTCCATTCTTGGCCAAAGCATGAGCAGAAAGGAACCCTCCAGGTTTGTTTTGATTCTCAGACTCTATGTTTTTCCTCAGTTTTAGCTGCTGGATGTGATTGTGGTATGGGGCAGACATCCCAGTGTTTCTGACTCTCTCCATTTTTGTGGAATTTGCATGACCCACTGTCTCTCCCTTAACCCTTCCCTATTTATTTATTTATTTATTTATTTATTTATTTATTTATTTATATCATTTCAATTGTTTTTAATTTGCTTTAAGTGTATTGTTACGTTGTGTATTGAGGCCTTGGCCTTTGTAAGCCGCATCGAGTCCTTCGGGAGATGCTCGCGGGGTACAAAGAAAGAATAATAATAATAATAATAATAATAATAATAATAATAATAATGATTTCAATCCCCGCTCTTCTCACCCCCGCAAGGGGACTCAGAGCAGCTCACAATGGCAGCGGTTCGATGCCGCAATACTTACAATTGTAAAAGCAGAATAAAATCATACCATACAACACATTAAAACATTAATTATCAGTCATAAAAACATTTCCATTATAACAATCGTCGTCTGGTCCAGTTCACTGTTCAGGTGCCATTATATCCATTAGCCAAAAGCCTGGTTCCACAACCACGTCTTCAGTTTTCTTCTGAAAGAAAGGAGGGAGGGCGCTGATCTTATTTCGCTGGGGAGCGAATTCCACCGGCAGGGGTCACCACCAAGAAGGCCCTGTCCCTCGTCCCCACCAGACGTGTTTGCGAAGCTGGTGGGACCGAGAGCAGGGCCTCCCCGGCAGATCTTAAACTACGAGGCAGAACATAGAGGGAGATACGTCTGGACAGGTAGGCTGGGCCGGAGCCGTATAGGGTTTTGTAGGTCAAAACCAGCACTTTGAATTGTGCTCGGAAATGGACCGGCAGCCAGTAGAGTTGACGTAACAGGGGGGTGGTGTGCTCCCTGTACGATGCTCCAGTGAGCAGTCTGGCTGCAGGCCGTTGGACTAGTTGAAGTTTCCGAGCAGTCTTCAAAGGCAACCCCACGTAGAGTGTGTTGCAGTGCGTCCTATTCTTTTCTATGGCACACAGCAAACAGAAGAACCCAAGCCAATAATGTGTGACTGCTTTGGAGAGATGTTATGCCTCTGCTAGGACATGCCTCAATAACACATATTGATATCTCTGTTATAAACATTACACTTGCCTTCTTCACTCTCCCTATTCTGTTCTTTCAAGTAATTTGAATATATGGGAGCTAGAAATGACACGGAAAGAGGGTCAAAGAAATATAGCTTAGGAAGTACTTTTGAGTCTTGACCATACCAGCCAGACTAAAACTGACCGGGGATGATCCGCGCATACAGAGAGTCCAGTTTCACAGGGAAGGAAGTGGCATGTTGTCCCAAATGCAAGGGGATGGAGGCTGTCCGGGGCGCAGCTTGGAAGCAGGCTCTCATCTGCATGTCTCCTTCTGCTTTCAGGCTCTTGAGAAGAGGAGGAGATGGCTTTCAGAAGGAAACTCCGCTTCAGACTGAAGAGCAAGGTGAACAATGCCTTGTGAGTACACAGAACAGGCGGGTTGGGTTGATTTCTGCTTGCTTTACAATGCCAAATGATAGTTCACTGCTCCAAATGGAGACCAACGTGCTTTATCCGTCTGCAGAATGCTTTCCTTTTTGTTTCGTATTCATAGATCTGAAGTTTGTAGATACACCGGCAACACACACACACACACACCAAAAAAAGCATGGCTCTGAAGGAATTCAGAGGAAGAGCTTCCTAAAGGAATAAGATATGGGAAGCATTATGAGTTTACTAAAAATAAGAAGTGCAAATGTGCTGCAGAGAGGAGGCTGAAATGAGAAACGGGCTGTTAGAATGCTTGTTGAATGGAAAAAGTCACACACACACACACACACACACATACACACACACATCTATATAAATAAAAATGTAATATTCTTTTGTGGGATTAACATAACTCAAACACCACTGGGCGTTTTAATGTGATGAGATGCTGAATATGCATGTGTACTCAGCAGCAGAGTAGCCAAGCACAAGGGCAGATGTCTTCTGGTTGTGTGACTGGTTGTGCCAGACAGCTTTTGTATGATATTGTTTCTATCACCCACTTTTTGCTTGATAGTCAGACAGAGCTTCTTGTAAGTCGGAGCACGGTCCAGAGTGACTCCCAGGGATTTGGGTGTGCTGCAATGCTCCAGTGGGATTCCTTCCCAGGTGATCCTCAGAGCTCAAGATATTTGTTTGCTCTTAAAAGTGAAAAACACACATATGCATTTTAGATGGATTAGGGATTAGCTGGTTTTCCCCGTATTAAGCAGTAAAAACACCTAAAACTTTGGAGAGCTTCTGTTCAACCATTTCAAAGCTCCCTGCTTGTGCGGTGATGGCATGATTGTCAGCGTAGATGAAACTCTCTGTCCCTTCTGGCAGTGACTGGCCATGTGTGTAGATGTTGAGCATTGATGGAGAAAGCACGCTCCCCTGAGGCAGGCCATTCTTCTGTTTCTGCTCCCTGCTTCTCTGACCCTGAAACTCAACAAAAAAGCTCCTGTTTTGTGTACTATCAAAGAAGGAGATGTGAGTCCCCCTAGGGGTGAGAAAAGCGGTATAGAAATACTGTAAATAAATAAGTATATCTCTTGCTTTCACTGCTTTACTCGGAGATTGTTCCCTTTTTTTACACTTACTTGTGGATGAGCCTTTCGGGGCCAATTTTGACTTTAAAATTGCTAGACTGGTACCTGAGTATATATAGTACATCCCACTTCAAATGTACCTTCCTTTGCTGCTTGAATAAGGTTTTTCCATCTAAAGAGTCCAACTGGGATTTTTAATGTCCTGCTGGGTTTAGTGGTATTTTTATCATCGTGTAAGAAAGCTGAGAATTGCAGCTTTTCAATGTGATCCAATGCTTCCTTATATAGAAGCAACTCCCACTGAGTTAAATGAGATTTTCAATCAATCACTTAATTTTCTTACATTGCATTTCTCTTCAAACTGGCATTTTATAGATTTTAATATATATATATATATTCAAGGGTTGAATTGTAGAATTGACAATACAATTCTGTGCATCTTTGGTTCAGTTTAGGGAGAGTGAATATAATAATAATAATAGGCCAAGGCCATCCTTAACAGAGCAAATGGGCCGCGATGGCGTAATAGGTGAAACCCTTGTGCTGCTGAACTGCTGACGTGAAGGTCGGGAGTTTGGATCCACGAGATGGAGTGAGCTCCTGCTGTTAGCCCTAGCTCCTTTCAACCTAGCCATTCGAAAACATGCAAATGTGGGTAGATAAAATAGTTACCGCTTTGGTGGGAAAGGCATAAGATGCTCCAAACAGTCATGCTGGTCACACGACCAGGAGGCGACAACAAAGGCTTCTCAGCTTGGAAATGGAGAGCAGCAACTTCCCCAGAGCCAGAGATGAACACTGCCTCCAAAGCTGGAAATGAAAGGAGAAGTCTTTGCCTTGTTTGTGTTTGTGTGTCTCATTGCCTTGTAACAAGGCATTGAATGTTTGCCAGTATCTGTTTACACTGTAATCTGCTCTGAGTCCCCATGGGGAGAAGGGCGGAATATAAATAAAGTGTTGATATTATTATCATCATCATCATCATCATCATCATCATTATATACACAATAAGATTAGTACACAGCAAACAAGATCACTCTGCTGGCTATTTTATTGGATCACATATCGGACACTTCCCAAGTGTCTAGGACTGTGTGACGTATTGGTGATAGGATGCATGCAGATTCGAGTAGGGAGGCTTTTTGCAGCTGACAGATCGTAATTTTGTCATCGGTGATTATTTTTAAATGCAGGCCAAGGCACTGCACCCAGTGTGCTGATCACCACTGGGACCATGTTCACTGGTTTGTGACAGAGTCTTTGCAGTTTGATCTTCAATATGGTGTCAGCTTTTTCAGTTGCTTCTCGTCAATTCTGCTGTCCCCTGGGATTGCAACATCGATGATCCATACTTGTTTTTTTCCCCACGATTGTGTGGTCAGGAGTATTGTGATCCAAAACCCTAAATTGGGAAGTCCTAGAGTAGTTTGATGTGTTCATTTTCTGTAACTTTTCGGGCTTGTGGTTCCACCGGTTCTTTGTTGCCGGCTGATGGTATTTCTGGCACAAGTTCCAATGGATCACCTGAGCAATGGTGTTGTGCCTCTGCTTGTAGTCTGTCTGTGCAATCTTCTTGCAGCAGCTTTCAGGATGGGATCCGTCGTTTTTTCTGCTTCTTTGCAGAGTCTACATTTGGAATCTGTCGTCGACTTTTCAGTTCTGGCTTTGATGGCATTGGTTCTAATGGCTTGTTCTTGGGCTGCAAGAATTACGATGGTGATAATAATAATTATGTTACTGACACAAAAACACAGTATATGTCACAGCAAACGAGATCTAGATGCTGGATTTCGTATCACAAAATCACAAGTCGGACACTTCCCAAGCGTCTAGGACTGTGTGATTTGTTGTTGTTGTTGTTGTTGTTGTTGTTAAATGGTAGGAAGATACTATGGCATCCAAACCTCATCCTGTTCAGCCTTTCATTGTATTCACTCTCTTAGAATATAGCTTTTCCAACATTCACACTTGATCACAGGTTTACCCAGTCAGACAAGATGTAGTTCTACTGGAATTATAGCAGCATTGCAAACTGTAATCCATTTACTTCTGATACATTTAAAACAGTTGACATGAGTATTGTGCAAATCTGTGATCTTATTTTGAGAGGTGATACATTTTACCCCTTTTGAGCCATAAAGTAACCATGCAGGCTTTATGTTTGGGCCACAATCCCTTCCTCTTTGTTTACCTCATTACTGTATACAACCGCTTGGTCTCGGTTACCTCTCCATCCATTTCCATTTGGGAGTACAAGTTTGGTCTCCATGGTAATGTTGCAAGAGGATCTCAACACGTTTTCAAGGAGCGCTTCACACTTTGCCACTTTGATGGGTACATGCTGCAAACCCGTGTTATGTACCGTCGAAAACGTTTTTGCGGTGTGCATGGAATGAGAAAAGTGCCTATGGTGCAATGCTGTGGCTTTGGCAGCCATCCCCAACATGGGCCTCTGATGTGTGCCTGTTTTGCATTAGAACATGTGAAGCAATGCCCAGGTGAAACAGTTGTCCTTGTAAGTCTCCTGTTGACGCTTCTGCTTGCATTTGGCCATTGCTGCAAAACCTAAAGCCCACTAATAAATTAGGGCTAAAATCCTGAAGGCTTTTTCCTGCTTTGGAGAGATGGGGTGGATTTACCCTGTAGCGTTTGTGCTAGGGAACAATGGCTGTTGTAGTTTTGCCTTCTCTGCCAAAGAATGCAGATGCCTCGTCAAACTAGAATCCCAATGCTTCCCTATCACTGAGCCGCGGCAGTTACAGTGGGGTCAAACTGCATTAATTGAACAGTGTAGATCCAACCACAGATAGAGTTTGCTTGTGCTCAGCAGGACTGTGAGGCCAATAGTCACAACTGCTTTTGAGTCATTCCTTCTTCTGCTCTCCGACAGTACATTTTGGTATTTTGCTATGATTCCTCAACATATCTAAACATTGAGAAGTGATACCGTGTTATCCTGTAGACAGAAGGATTGCAATCGAACCAAAACAGTATGAGGCCTGTTCATTATACTTACATTGCAGTCCTTGCATTTTCCGTTTATTTTGTGAGGAAACAGTGGTACTGCTTGCTTTTGTGTGTCGGGTGCAGTGTTTCAAAGGGACTTGTGCAGTAGGCAAAAATCTTAGCCAACAACAACAATAATAATAATCAACTGGAAAAGCTGACACAATATGAGGATTTAAAGATCGATCTGCAAAGACTCTGGCACAAGCCAGTCAAGGGGGTCCCAGTGGTGATCGTCACACTGGGTGCAGTGCCTCTAAACCTTGGCCTGCACTTAAAAACAATCGGCGCTGACAAAATCCCCACCTGCTAGCCTCAGAAGGCCACCCTACTGGGATCTGCAGACATTATTCGCCGATACATCACACAGTCCTAGACACTTGGGAAGGGTCTGACGTGTGATCCAATACAACAGCCAGCAGAGTGATCTTTTCTGCTGTGGACTCATCTTGTTGTGCTTCAAATAATAATAATAATAATAATAATAATAATAATAATAATAATAATAATAATTCATTTATATTCCGCTCCATCTCCCTGAGGGGACTCAAAACGGATTACAACATACACAGATAGGCAAACACTCAGTGCCTTTAATACAGTGGAATAACACTGACACACAACTACACAGAACAAAGGCAAAGGCTTCCCCTTTCATTTCCGGTTTGCTAGAGGCGGTGCTCAACTCTGGGCCTGGGCAGGTGCTCTTTCTCCATTTCCCAGCCGAGGAGTCTGACACGTCCTGGTTGTGTTGCCGACATGGCTGCATGGGCACCCTTTTATTACCTTGGCACTGAAGCGGTACCTATTGATCTACTCACATTTGCATGTTTTCAAACTGCTAGGTTGGCAGGAGCTGGGGCTGACAGCGGGTGTCCATAGACACCTCCT